CACAATCATCATCATCACTCGTTTCAGCACACCCCTCACACGTTTCGTGGCCCCATAGGGAGCTCCACCGAAGGCCCCAATGGGACCGCCCGCATGCGTCACGCACCACCCAGTACAGCATGCGTCACGCACACCCAGTACAGCGCTTCGTGGCCCCATAAGGAGCCCCATCGAAAGCCCCAGTGGGACCGCACGCATGCGTCACGCACCACCCAGTACAGCGCTTCGTGGCCCCATAGGGAGCTCCACCAAAGGTCCCAGTAGGACCGCCCGCATGCGTCACGCACCACCCAGTACAGCGTTTCGTGGCACCATGGGAAACTCCACCGAAGGGCTCGATGGGACCGCCCGCATGCGTCACGCACCACCCAGTACAGCGCTTCGTACCCCCATAGGGAGCTCCACCGACGGCCCCAGCGGGACCGCCCGCATACGTCACGCACCACCCAGTACAGCGCTTCGTGGCCCCATAGGGAACTCCACCGAAGGCCCCAGTAGGACCGCCAGCATGCGTCACGCACACCCAGTACTGCGTTTCGTGGCCCCGTAGGGAGCTCCACCGACGGCCCCAGTGGGACCGCCCGCATGCGTCCCGCACACCCAGTACAGCGTTTCGTGGCCCTATATAGAGCTCCACCGAAGGTCCCAGTGCCTAATGTTCGAGAGCTGTGCTGCAGCTACAGCCCTGATAATTGCACCATGAAGCGAGCAATAAAAGTCTGGGTTCTCAAAACAAACGGTCAAATCTCGCACAATCTCCAACAAAACCGACCCCAAATTGCCACATTGTCCGCCCGGGCCGGGTGGTCCGCATGAGTCGCCCCCACCCAGTACAACGCATCGTCGCCCCATAGGGAGCCCCATCGAAGGTCCCAGTGGGACCACCCTCATGCGTCCCGCACACCCACTACAGCGTTTCGTGGCCCCATAGGGAGCCCCACCGAAGGTCCCAATGGGTCCGCCCGCATGCGCCCCGCACACCCAGTACAGCGTGTCTTGGCCCCATACGGAGCGTCACCGATCCGTGGCCCCATAGAGAGCTCCACCGAAGGCCCCACTGGCAAGGTCCACATGCGTTTCACAACGTTTCGTGGCCCATACGGAGCTCCACCGAAGGCCCCAGTAGCAAAGTCCGCATGCGTCTCCCCCACCCAGCACAACGTTTCGTGGCCCATAGGGAGTTCCACCGAAGGCCCTAGGGGCAAAGTCCGCATGCGTGAGCTCCTCTGGAGGCCCCAGTGGCAAAGTCCGCATGCGTCTCCCCCACCCAGTGCAGCGTTCCGTGGCCCATAAGGAGTTCCACCGAAGGCCCCAGTGGCAAACTTCGCATGCGTCTCCCCCACCCAGTGCAACGTTTCGTGGCCCCATAGGGAGCTCCACCGAATACGATACCCATAATTGCGGTGTTCACAACTACATCTGGTTTGGGCCCTTCACCAGGCTATTGTTTGAACGTCGCGGCGCGGCAGAGGCGATCCGCTCGCGCGTCCGAGCAACCTGGGCTACGGCGTTGCGAATCGTCCCGCGTGCAGGAGGAGGGGAGCCGCTTGAAAAAACACCAGGCCTCGCAACGAGCCGACGCCGACGCAGACGCCAACGACAAAGACGCCGACGCCGACGCCGACGCAAACGCCAACGCCGACACCGAGCCCGACGCCGACGTCGACGTCGACGACGACGACACCGAAGCCGACGCCAATGACGACGCCGATGCCGTCACCGACGCCGACATCGACGCCAATGACGATTCCAACGCCGACGCAGACGACGCCACTCCCGACGCCGACGACGACGCCGAGGCCGAGGCCGACGCCGACGACGACGCCAACGCTGACACCGACGCCAGGGCCGACGACGACCACGACGCCGACAACGACGCAGACGCCGATGCAGGCGCCGACGCCGACATCGACACCGACGCAAATGACGACGCCACCGCCGATGCCAACGACGATGCCGACGCCGACGCCGACGACAACGCCGACAACGCCGACAATGCCAACGACGACAACGCCGACGACATCGTCGCCAACGCCGACGCCGACGCCGACAACGATGCCGACGCCAACGCCGACGACGATGCCGACGCCGACACCGACGACGACGACAACGCCGACAACGCCGACGACGACAAACAAAGCCGACGACGCCGACGCCGACGCCGACGCTGACGCCGACGCCGACGCCGACGCCGACAACGCCGACGACGACGCCGACGACGACAACGCCAACGCCGACGCCGACAACGACGCCAACTACGCCGCCGACGCCGACGCAGACGCCGACGCCGACGCCGACGCTGACGCCGACGCCACGACGACGCCGACGCCGGCGCCGACGCCGTGCTGACAACGACGCCGACGCCGACGCCGACGACGCCGACGCCGACGCCGCCGACGACGACGCCGACGCCGACGCCCACGCCGACGACGCCGAGGCCGAGGCCGATGCCGACGCTGACGCCGACGCCGACGCCGACGCCGACGCCAACGCTGACGCCGACGACGCCAACGCCGACGCCGACGCCGACGACGACGACGACGCCGATGCCGACGCCGACGCCGACGCCGACGCAAACGCCGGCGCCGACGACGCCGAAGACGACGCCGACGACGACGACGACAGCAGCGCCGATGACGATGCCAACGCCGACAATGCCGACGACGACAACGCCGACAACGCCGACGACGACAACGCCGACGACGCCGACGCCCACGCCGACGACGGCGCTGACGCCGACGCCAACGCCGACGCCGACGCCGACGCCAACGACGCCTACGCCGGCGCTGACGACGACGACGACGCCAACGCCGACGCCGACGACGACGCCGCCGACAACGCCAACTACGCCGACGACGCCGACGCCGCTGACGCCGACGCAGACGCCGACGCCGACGCCACGACGACGCCGAAGCCGACGCCGACGCCGACGCCGACGACGACGACGCCGACGAGGCCGAGGCCGAGGCCAAGGCCGATGCCGACGCTGACGCCGACGCCGACGCCGACGACGCCGACGACGCCGACGACGAAGCCTACGCCGACGCCGACGCTGACGCCAACGACTACGCCGACGCCGACGCCAACGACGACGCCGATGCCGACGCCGACTCCGACGCAAACGCCGACGCCGACGCCGACGACGACGACGCCGACGACGACGACGAAAGCAGCGCCGACACCGACGCCGACGACGACGACGCCGCCGACAACGCCAACTACGCCGACGACGACGACGCCGCCGACGCCGACGCTGACGCCGACGCCGACGCCGACGCCGACGCCACGACGACGCCGAAGCCGACGCCGAAGCCGACGCCGACAACGACGCCGACGCCGACGCCGACGACGCCCACGCCGACGACGCCGAGGCCGAGGCCGATGCCGATGCTGACGCCGACGCCGACGGCGACGACGACGACGCCGACGACGCCGACGACGAAGCCTACGCCGACGCCGACGCTGACGCCAACGACTACGCCGACGCCGACGCCGATGCAGACGCCGACGACGCCGATGCCAACGCCGACGCCGACTCCGACGCAAACGCCGACGCCGCCGACGACGCCGAAAGCAGCGCCGACGCCGACGCCGACGCCGACGACGACGACGATTATGCCCCAAGCAATAAAGAAAACACGCTCATTCATCCTGAATCGCTTTTGCAATCCTGGCGCCCGGCGAGGCCTCCCAAAGGCAAATGCTCGGGTCCCTGGCGACCCTTCGGGACGAGCCGGGCACCCTGGGAAGAGAAAACTGAATAATGATACTGATAAGAACGATGATAAGCATAGCAATGAGAAGAAGACGAGGAAGAAGGTACAACAGTTCTAAGACTAATAACACTACAAATAAAAGGTACAACAGTTCTAAGACTAATAATACTACACATAAAATGCTAATAAGGATAACACTAATAAAAAGATGAATGGTCGTACCAGAAAGTAGCAATAATAATACTGATGAGGTGAAGAAGAAGAAGAAGCAGAAGCAGAGGAATAATAATAATAATACTGAGAAGAAGACCATAAGAATAAATTGGGGGGAAAAATTAGCAGGGGATAAGTCGACCCCTATCCTGGGACTCGTGGGGCTTTCGAGTGGACCGGAAATTGGGGGCCCAGCCCTGGTATATACGATGGGGAGGCGCCCAGCCTCGACAGGAGTGCGTCCGAATAGCCCCCCCTGGGGTTGCATCCCCGAGTTCCCCTCCTCCCCTGTTGAGCAGGGCCTGGCCGTCCCGGCAGTCCTGAAGGCCTACGGCGACGGGTTCGTACAACCGGGCATGCTCTAAGAACAACGGCCGCGCTCTTCGTAGAGCAGAAGGTCCATGGGCCGAAGCAAGACCGTCCCAGCCGGACATATTCTGAGAACACCTCGTGCAGACCGCAAAAGGTTCTCAGCACAGTCTCTGGTGGGCCCACAGGCGGGCCAGGACGCTCCTCTGGGCGCGCGGCGGGGCCCGCCGGGCGCTCCGTCTCCCGTTCCTGCCCCACGAGTGGGGGGAGGAGGAGAAGCAGGAGGAGGAGGAGGAGGAGGAGGAGGGAAAAGAGGAGGAGGAGGAGGAGGAGAAGGAGGAGGAGGAGGAGGAGGAGACGGAGGAGGAGGAGGAGGAGGAGGAGGAGGAGGAGGAGGAGGAGGAGGAGCTGGAGGAGGAGGAGGAGGAGGAGGAGGAGACGCTTCGCCACCGCTTGGCTCTGAGCGGCCTCCCGTCTCCGTGGAAGAGCAGGGCTCCACCCTGCCCCTGCGGCCCTCTCTGGCCGGCGGGGGCGCAGGGGCAGCCCAGCCGGCCGCAGGATAGGGGGCTCCTCGCTCCTCGCTCGTCGATGCGTCGCTCCTGGCCCCATCGCTCCTCGCTCGCCGATCCTCGCTCCTCGCTCCCCGCCCCTCGATCATCCTCGCTCCTCGCTCCTCGCCCCTCGAGCCAGACGCGGGGGCCATCATGACGTCTCGCTCCCCTGGGCCCCCATCCGCCGCCACGGGTGCCAGAGGGCGGGCGCCTGCGGTGCCAGTTGCAGTCCGCGGTGGCGAGCTCCCGGCCCTGGGAGCCCTGGGAGCCCTGCGAGCCCTGGGACTTCGAGGGCACACTGCTCCTGGATAGGAGCGCGAGGGAGGAGCTGCCAGGGGGGGGGGGGGTCGGAGGAGGAGGCGTCCTTCGCCTCGTCCTCCTCCTCCTCCTCCTCCTCCTCCTCCTCCTCCTCCTCCTCGGTCCCCTCCTGCTCCTCCTCCTCCTCCTCCTCCTCCTCCTCCCCCTGCTCGTCGTCCTCCCCCTCCTGCTCCTATTTCTGCTCCTCCTTCGCCCCCTTACCCAGTAGCAACACAAAGATGGCGGCTAGATGGAAAGACACAGTAGCAACACATCGCCTGGCGGAGAGTGGCTGCATCAGCCCCGAATTGCTTTGACAGTCGTCACTTGTCCTCCTCCTCCTCCTGCCCCTTGTCAGAATGAGGGGGCTGAACCGAACGGTCATTCACTGTCCCTGGGCGCGTGGCTGAAGTGGAATTCCGCGATGCGGATTCTCGTTGTTGTTGTTGTTGTTGTTGTTGTTGATGTTGATGTTGATGTTGATGATGATGATGTTGTTGTTGTTGTTGTTGTTGTTGTTGTTGTTGTTGTTGAACTCTCATTCTTGAAGAATAATTATTGTTGATCCCCCCCCACCGGTGCACATTGATTTTTGTCGATTGAAGTGCCACCCCCGGGGCTCGCACCTTGTTTTTTCTCAAGGAAAGTCTTCCTGCTCAAACTGTGCCCCTGCCCCCCGGGCTACAACAACAACGGCTCCCGCCTGAGACTTCCTCGATTTTTACTCAGGGCCCCCGCTCCCGCCTGAGACTTCCGCGCAATTTACTCAGGAAAGGCGCTCCCGTCTGAGACTTCCTCGCCATGTAATCAAGACCCCCGCTCCCGCCTGAGACTTCCGTGCAATTTACGTGGGAACGGCGCTCCCGCGTGAGACTTCTTCGAATTTTTACTCAGGGCCCTCGCTCCTGCCTGACATTTCCGCGCAATTGACTCAGGAACGGCGCTCCCGCCTTAGACTTCCTCGCAATTTAGTGAGGACCCCCGCTCCCGCCTGAGACTTCCGTGCAATTTGCTCAGGAACGGCGCTCCCGCTTGAGACTTCCTCGCAACTTAGTCAGGGCCCCCGCTTCCGCCTGAGATTTCCTCACAATGTACTCAGGACTGCGCTCTCGCGTGCGACGTCCTCACAAATTATTCTGGAATTGCGTTTCGGCGCTCAGGAACCACGCACGCGCCAAGGACGCCTTCACAACGTGGTATCTTCCCTCTTCCTTCGTCCTTCCCCCTCCCCTTCCTCCCACTCTCCCTCGTTCTTCCCCTCCTCCTCTTGCAGGGCCCGCGCCAATTCCAATGGCGGGCAGAGAGATGTACGCCCCCGAAGGATTGTCCGCCCGTTCCGGTTTGCCCGTACGTCTAAGCCCGCCGGCCCCAGCAAAGAGAAATAATCCCCCCGAAAGGGGTGTGATCGAAGACGAAGAGGGCGGGCATCGAGGGTGTAGGGTATACGTGTTGAATGACTCGCGGGCAAGTAAGAGCGTACAGCCTTAAAATGGTTGTTGTTGTTGTTGTTGTTGTTGTTGTTGTTGTTGTTGTTGTTGTTGCCGGTGTTGTTGTTATTGTTATGTGTTGTTTGTTGTTTGTTGTTGTCGTCGTCCCACCCGCGCCCCGCCCCGCGACCCACCCGCGACGCACCCCGCGACCCACCCGCGACCCACCCCGCGACCCACCCGCGACCCGCCTGCGACCCACCCGCGACCCATCCGCGACCCACCGCGACCCACCCCGCGACCCGCCCGCGACCCACCCCGCGACCCCCTCGGCGACGCCCCCGCGACCCACCGGCGACCCACCCGCGACCCACCCGCGACCCACCCCGCGACCCACCCGCGACCCACCCGCGACCCACCCGCGACCCACCCGCGACCCGACCCACCCCGCGACCCGCCCGCGACCCACCCCGCGACCCCCGGCGACCCCCCCGCGACCCACCCACCCAAAATTTTCGGCGCCTGCGGCGGGCTTTCTTTGAATTCGTTCCAGGTGGGAGAACCTGCGACCCACCCGCGGCCCAAACCGCGCCCGCGACCCACCCGCGACCCACCGCGACCCACCCGCGACCCACCCGCGAACCACCTCGCGACCCACCCAAAATTTTCGGCGCCTGCGGCGGGCTTCTTTTGCATTCGTTCCAGGTGGAGAACATGCGACCCACCCGCGACCCAAACCGCGTTCAGTGTACAAATCAAAATTTTCGGCGCCTGCGGCGGGCTGTTTTTGAATGTCCTCCAGGTGGAAGTGGAGAGCTCGCGACCCACCCGCGACCCAAACTACGTTCACTGAACAAGCTAAAACTTCGGCGCCTGCGGCGGGTTTGTTTTGCATTCGTTCCAGGTGGAGAACCTGCGACCCAAACCGCGTTCAGTGTACAAATCAAAATGTTCGGCGCCTGCGGCGGGCTGTTTTTGCATTCGTTCTGGGTGGCACCCTGCGCGTCCTGTTAGGAGGAGGAGGAGGAGGAGGAAGAGGAGGAGGAGGAGGAGGAGGAAGAGGAGGAGGAGGAGGAGGAGGAGGAGGAGGAAAATGAGGAAGCGGAGGAGGTGGAGGAGGAGGCGGACGACGACGACGACGACGATGAGGACGAGGACGCGGACGAGGAAGAGGAGGAGGAGCAGCAAACGGAGGAGAAGGAGGAGGAGGAGGAGGAGGAGGAGGAGGGCGCCATCGACAGGGAAGGTGATGGCCACGAGGTCCGCCAGCTCGACGCCCGCGTCGCCCGCGCCCGCCCCCTCACTCTTATCCGCAATTGCGGGGTGCTACGTCCTCGTCCTCGTCCTTGTCGTCTTCCCCATGGGGGAGACGGAAGGGTGCGGAGGAGGCGGCGGAAACGAAACAGGGCGTGATGGAAAGAGGAGGCGGACGAAGAGGCGAAGGCGGAAGCGAAGGCTGTGGGAGAAGGTGAGGATAGGATTAGACTGGACTCGGCCTTGCGCAAATGGGGAACCACATCCAACTCAACACATGCGCCTGGACGCTCGCGCACAATTCATACTTCACACAATCGCATAACTAAAATACGGGTTGAATGGTAAAGCCTGCCGCGCAGCACTTGTAAAGGAACTGCGATACAAGCTGCGCGCAAAATTAAAGTGGGATCCGCGGGCTGGGGGGGACATCCTACTGGCCTCAAGAGGCCAAGCCTGACGGCAGTGGATGTGCCAGGTAGGCGCTCGAGTCATCCACCGAGCCCCGCGAGAGGGCCATAAGGAAGGAAGCGCCCATTTGCCCTCTTTCCCTACGCGGGACCCGAAGTCATCTGCTTGGGGGAGGGTTGGCAAGGGGGGCCCACCCCAGAGGGAATATTCAGGAGCGCTGCGGGCGCGCTTCGAACAACGTGCAGGCGGAGCAGCCGGAGCGGGGCGGCGGCGGGCCCGCGGGCGGGCGGAAGAGGCCCTCATCCGAACCGAACGTGACCATGCCGATGCCAAGGGCCGCCGTGGAGTGCAGGGTTCCATACCACAGGGCAGCGAGGCCAGCACCAGAGGTCAACTGTAGGGCGTCTGGAATCACCCACCCGCCCCAAGACCTTCAGACCACACGCGCCGCCTGCCTGGCTCTACACCTATCGCTACTTTGCTCGCAGCTCCCGAGGGAACCAGGACGCACCCAGGCAGCCAGACCCGCTGTCAGATCTGCCAGATTCGGAGGGACGCCCCTAAACCCTCGTCTGCGGCCTCCGGGGCCTCCATTTCTATGATCCGTGGCCTCCATGGTGCCCAAGACTCCATGGTAAGCTTGCTCTAGCTGAGCTCCAACACGCCGAAGAGGCTTCAAGCATAGCCAAGATAGCTTCAAGACGGCCCAAGAAGCCTCCAAGATGCACCCAGACAGCCCCAAGAGGACCACAAGGAAGCCCCAAGAGGCCCACATCGCCTCAAACCCGACGGGGGCACTTTTTTGGCATATCCAACCTTTAGGTTTCAACGGCGTTCAAAGCGCCCCCCCCCCCCCCCAAAAAAAAAAAAACGATATCATTCCAGGGCGACCCAACAGATCCCAGGGGGGCCCAAGACGGCCCAAGAGAGCCCCATAACAGTCCAAGAAGCGCTCAAGACGCCCAAGAGGGCCCCGAAAGAGCTTCGAGCGAGGCCCAAGAGGGGGACCTTGAACTGGCTGTTCGAGCCCCCCGCCCCAAAATGCCCCCCGAAACAGCCAGCAGGCGCCCAGCAGACCCCTGAGAGGCCCCAGGAGGCTTCCAAGAAGCCAGAAAAATGCCCCAATCGGCCCCTCAAGCGGCCCCCAAGGGGCAAAAGCCCCGCCCCCCCTCCGAGGTTTTCGTTTCTCCTCTGGAGGTCGGCGGAATGGGGCCAGTCATTAAACCAAAAACTTCGAAGTCGTCCGCTGCCGGCCGCCGCTGCCGACGCCTCGCATGCAGCGGCTCTCGCTCGTGGCGTTTTCCACCGTGACTCGCGGGCGATCCTGGGCGCCCGCTTCACCCGCCCCCCATCGCCGCCCTACTCCCCCCCTCCGAGCTTGCGCTCGTAGGCCCAGCATGTTCTGCGCCAGCGCCTCCAGATGACCCTGCGGCGCCGCCCCGAGTTCGAGCTTGCCCTTGGATCTCCAAGAGCTCAATCACCGACTGTTCCAGCAACAATTGGGCAAATTCGACCGCCGCGCACGCGCCGCCTGAAGCGAGCAGCCGCCCGCGACCGCGAATTGCAACCGCGCCATCTCGTCGTTGTAGCACCTCTTGCACCTGAAGTGCCTGACCAGCAAGCCCAGCTCATCAACTTTGCTATTCCGCGCGGAGTTCCCATAGAAGAGACCTCGCGCGCCGTGCGCCTCCTTCTCCTTTCGCTGACGATGTGGCCCGCCAAGGATTGCACGCTGCGCGCGCGATGCGCACGCGCGGGGGGCCTAGCTGGCCCTTCGCGCCCGCGAACCCAGCCGCCCCCGCGCTGAGCTTGCCAGCGCCCCTGGGCGCCGCAATCGTTTGCGCCGCCGACGGCGCGGCCGCGCTGATCCACTCTGCTGCTGCTAAGCCCCTCAACAGTTGAGAGCGCATGC